AGTAATTACCAGTGAAACAAGCAGCTACTAACTTTTCTTCCCAAAACAACAAGCAAAACTAACTATTAACACCCAAACAATTACCAGTAAAACTAGCTATTAACACCTTCACAATTACCAGTAAAAACTAGCTATTAACATCTTCACACTTACCAGTAAAACAACTAGCTACTAACCCCATTCTCCCAAAACAACAAGCAAAACTAGCTATTAACACCCCAATAATTACCAGTAAAACAAACAGCTACTAATTTCTCTTCCCAAAACAACAAGCAAAACTAGCTATTAACACCTTCACAATTACCAATGAAACAACTAGCTACAAACTTCCCTCCCCAAAACTACCAGTAAAACTAGCTACTAACATCTTCACAATTACTAATAAAACAACTAGCTACTACCACCTTCACATCTATCAGTAAAAACTACTAATACCCTAATCAACTATCAATTAACACAAATAACAGTTAACACCTTCACATCCTCCAGTAAATTATCTTTAAGTGTCTGTTGTTACAGAAGATATGAGAAACATCTGAATGACAATTATTCTGTAGAAACAAATTACTTCTACGGGTATACCCTGATGTAATACAGTACATCATCTACAGACAAATCAATACCACTGGTATACCCTGATGAAATATTAGATTAGCTAGAGACATGTCACATCCATGGGTTTACATCACCTAAAGATATTTCCAAAAGAAATTTCTTACCTTGTTGTACAATCCTGATCATTAATCTGACAATTTGTTCCACTAAACCCAAGTGCACAAGTACAAGTGTAACTGTTGACGTAATCATTACAGGTGGCTCCATTTTCACAAGGGTTGCTGGCACATTCATCAATATCAGTTTCACAAACTTTTCCCCCAAAGCCATCGATACAGAGACATGTATATTCTCCAATACCATCTAGACAGGTTCCTCCATTTTGGCATGGAACTGAAAGAAGCAAAAAATTATCCACAACTGCTTAAATTTAGGTACAGTGATAATTCAATACTTTTACAACACACACAGATTCTATGTGGAATGGCAAGTTTCTTCACGCAACAAGTGTCTTGTGATTTTTTACAAACACCAACTTATGCATACAATACTATCATATTTTTTAAAGTGGGTCTACTCTTTAATTATATTTACCAGAGAAAAAGGTAATAAAGTGTAGGTATTACACTGCAAAATATGTAAAAACAAATTATCGTAATCCTTCACTAACTTTATACAGTATAATAAATAATCATTTATATGGACTGTAATAATAAGAAAAATGATTTTACTTCATAATTTTTTGCATTTCTACCTCACAAAACAGTTTCATTGACTTGATAGAAATACTGATCTTACAAGATGCACAATCATCTGTGTTAATCAGGCACTCTCTTCCTTCATATCCTTTAGCACATGTGCAGGTGTAAGAACCGTTGGTGTTGACGCATGTAGCTCCATTGCGACAAGGGGAAGAAATGGTACACTCGTTGATGTCTTCATCACAAAATCTACCTGTATAAGATAAGCAAGTTATAATGAAATAGAAATCTTCAAGATTTAATAAAAGTATTCAACGTTTGCTGTCAGAAGGTCTTTACTAACCTGTGTAGCCAAGTTCACAAGTGCAAGCGAAATCCAAGTAGTTTGAGGAAGGAGTGCACATTGCTCCATTTTTACATTTGTTTGGGTTGCATGGATCCAATTCCTCTTCACACTTGTGACCACTGTAAGGGACCTCACACACACACTCGTAGGCATTTACCAAATCAATACAGGACCCACCATTCAGACAAGGACTGCTGGCACAGTCATCAATATTGATTTCACAGTTCTGTCCACTATAACCTAGTAGGCAGGTACAAGAGTAGCTAGCAAGGGCATCGTGACAACTCCCACCATGTTGACAAGGGTTGGACTGACATTCATCTATGTCCTGCTCACACCGATGACCTCCATATCCTGAAATGTCATAAAATCACAGTTGAAAGTAATACAAACTAATTACAGGTTTTGTCACCACCACTATTATACTCCAAATCTAAACAAGCAACAATGATAACATTTTGGAAACTAAGAAAAATTTCACAGTGAAAAAAAAGAATGCCATAAAGAAATGGCTACTATGGTGGAGCCAATATTAATATAGTCATTTCCAGTGATTTTTTTTTAATTCTAAAAATTTGGATATACTCAAAAACATTCACAGAGAACACTAAACAAATGAAAAGTGAATGAAACCATAGTATATGTCAGTCAGAAATAACCTAATTCAATTTGTACAGTTTGTATTATACCAAGTACATTTCATCACTTGCCTTTACAGAAAATCAATATTTACATATCAAAATATATTCCCAGGATTATTCTAATGACCAAAAGCATCATAAACGTCATACCTTGCTTGCAGTGGCAGATGTATTTGTTAACTTCATCTTCACATGTGCCACCATTTAAACATGGATTGCTTGCACACTCATTCACATCCGAAAGACAGCGTGCATCAAAATATCCCCTGGGACAGTCACATTTAAAGCCATTTGCAAGGTCAATACATTTTCCACCATTTGCACAAGGACTGCTTGCACATTCATCAATGTTTGTTTCACAGTGGACACCTGTAACAGATTAATTATCATTCAGTAACTGACTATATTGTGCTAAGCAATTTCCCAAAGAGCAGTTGCTCAGCCTAATTATTTGAAATATCCATCATCTCTCTTTTAGAAGTAAAGCTTGTAGTAATTTATTGTTTTTCTATTGGTTATTTAATAATAGATATAAATTTGGGGTTGGAAATTTTAAATAAGTTATTCACCATAAACAAACCCTTATCTCAAACATTTTGCATACAAAAACACTAATTCATAAACTTTTCTGATATCTTTAGTATTTGTAAAAATTTACACTAAATAAACCAAAATATCAGAATTGTTCTGATGTCATATGTACTTGTTATGGTTTCTAAAATCATGGTAACATGAATAAAAGAGCTTAGTAGGTAAAGTTAGTTAAAATAAAAGTGGATTTGTTAAGTGTCACTTGATTACTGTAGCTAGAATCATTCACTCTTAATCAGAAGAAAATTATTGCTTAGAAAAAAATGGGGGTGTGGGGGACACCAGATTCCTTGAATCTGCCCCTGGTTCATGGATCTGGAATTACAATTCCTGTCTAAAATTTCATGGATAGCTTACAATATGATAAAATTATGCCTAATCCTGGTTTTTAGTTTCTTATTAATTAACTTCAAAGATAAAAAGCTATTCTTTACAAACATAAAACAGTAGAAGTGCAAGAAATTGTTTGACAAAAATTAAACCTAACAAAAAAAATGTTTTTACCTGTAAAACCAGAAGCACACTTGCATGTGTAAGAGTTAATTCTGTCTTCACAGGTAGCACCATTTCGACAAGGATTGGAAAAGCATTCATTGATGTCATGTTCACAGTTTGGTCCAAACGTACCAGGTCGACAACGACACTGGTAACCATTGATAAGGTCCTCACACAAACCATCATGCTGACAGGGGTTACTCAGACACTCGTTGATCTGGGTCTGACAGAGGAAACCTGTATAGCCAGGATTACAGTTACACCTGTAACTGTTGATCCCATCCACACATTCTCCATGATGGCATGGAGAAGAGTGACAGTCGTTGATGTTTGTGTCACAACTTGGTCCCGTGAAACCTGTAACCAAACAACTGAATAACTTAACAACTACTGAATTATTATCTTTATCTACTTAATTTTCTCACAGAAGTGTAATAAAGACACAGACTGTACTTTATTAAAACCAAACAACTGGATGACTTAACAACTATAGACTGATAGTCTTTCTGTATTGAATTCTCTTGCAATAGTCTAATAAAGATACAAGACTTCCTTACCTGGTAGACAATCACAAATAAAACTTGCAATGCCATCTCTACAAGTAGCACCATTTCGACAAGGCTGACTAAGGCAATCATCATCATTCAATTCACACTTCCTTCCAGAAAAACCTATTGGACAGAGGCACCTAAAACTGTTGATTCTGTCACTACAGATTCCTCCATTAAGACAAGGGTTGGGTGTACATTCATCAATGTCCAACTCGCATTGATTTCCAGTGTATCCTGTGAAATAAAAGAAAAACAATTTAAACTGTTGATCCTATCACTACAGTTTCTTTCATAAACCACACCTTGTGCACTACAACAAATGAAAATCTTTTACACAAAAAGATGAATCTAAAACAGAGGAAACTTGAAATGTAAGACAGTACATGAAGCAAATCACTAATGTTTGTGTTCCGTAAGTGAGGTATACTTTATTCTTCCTTTAACACTATTTTCATTAATACAATGGGTTAGAATGTTTAATATAACTATTTTTAATATTCTAAATTTATTATTATTATAAGATTTAGTAAAGATTATTTTGCATTATTAGCTTAGTATATGCATTTAGAACTAACCCAAATCTCCTAAACTGGCTGAATCTTATTAATATCATTAACAGGAAGAGTACTGACTGATAAAATAATGCATTATATTCTTTATAAGTAAGAACAGTATATTTAGTTATCTATACTCATTACTGCATTGATCTTTTGTTCTGATCTATGTAGGCAGTTTTCTTTGAACCAAAATTAATATTACTTGCTTATTCTGAGACAAACCTTGTTTTTGTATTGACCAGAATACTCTAATGTTCTATCTAAAGACAATGTTACACAATTTGAAGCCTAACGAGTTATGATCATATTACTGTTTGTTACATCCTATCTAAAAACAAGTCACACAATTTAAAGCCTAACATTAGCTAAAATGCCATTTTACATTTATTACAACACTCCAATCAACTTCACTGAAACATCTTATCTAAAATTTACTAAACAATCCTTTCTAACATTAAGTAAACACCATTTTCTGGGTACATCAGGACCACTGCCATACAATTACAATTATTCTGGTACAGTTAAAAAGAGTTTACAGTGTAACACTAACTACCTTAGTAACAATAATATATATTTCATTAATCTCTTGCTGTACTTCAACATAGGAAGATGTTGTGACAAAGTGTAAAACCTATAATAGTTCTGAAGGTATCCATCATGAACGATTAAGAGTCTCTTGTGCAGTCAGGGGGAATTCTCAATTTGCATGTAATGAAACTGATTGCAGAAAGTCAGAGGACCTTCACTGTACCCTAATGGTTATTCTGATGCTACAATCCATATTTTTACACTGTATAAAAATGCAACAGAGCCATAATTTTTGACTTTACAGTTAATTACTTGCCTCCTTCTACGTATTCACCTACCTCTACTATTATATCATCTTATACTTACCCGGCATACAAACACAGCGAAACCCGCCCCTTTCATCTAAACATGTGCCATCATTCTGACACGGGTTAGAATCACATTCATTGATGTTAATTTCACATCTTGGACCAGTAAATCCCTTAGTACAGTTGCAGGTGAAGGAACCCGGAGTGTTAACACATACTCCTCCATGTTCACAAGGTGAGCCTGCAAACAAGATATTAACTATTCGTTACAAACATGTTTAGGTTACACAAATATATACTTTTGTGTAAAAAGGGTAATTTTGCTTTCTGTTACTGTTACAAATACAAAGCTTGGTTTAAAATTTAATAAAAACAATAAATTTTCAATCTTAATGTGAGAGTAAAAGAAAAGAATGAGAAGTGTAATGTTGAATTTAATTCAGTACAGGTATAGACCAAACTCGAGAACTCATATTATATTATTACTAGCAAAGGATGAACTATTTCTTTGCTCGGTTTCTATATAATTCAACATTTACCTTCTTCACACTCATTGACGTCCTCGGTGCAGTCGTTTCCTTGGAAACCGCTAGGGCATGAACATCGGTAACTCCCATCTGTGGGATTCGTGTTACAAATAGCACCAGAGTGACAAGGATTACTTGCACAGGCATCATCTAGGTGACACAGAAGCCCTGGAAAGGAAACAGAGACATCCTTTCACTTTATAGAGCATTCCATATAGAAAGCAGTAAAAAAAATATTTCATTTTATAGAGTATCCTATAAGGGAAGCAGCAAGAAAGCTGGGATTTCAAATGTCACGAAGTCAGATAAGGTTTAAATATTATATTGGCCTGTACTGTACCTAAAACTTTGATTTCAATCTGATCTTTAAAAATACTGGTTGAAAAGATTGCAGCTTATATAAGGCCTACTTCAACGTTAAATAGGCAAGGTTTTTCACATATTATGGGCAAAAAAATTCACTTGTAAAAAAGTATTTATTTCCACGTAAGCCTTCTTTCAAAAACGTCGTGAGATGAGTTTATTTTTTGACTTATGAACGACCACAAAGAGGGTTTGCAATGGATAGTAAACTATCAAATTGATGTTTTTAGATGGTAAAGTTTTCGAAAAGAATTAATCATACCTCTTATATTCGTTTAGAAATAAAAAGTATCGATCCTTCTGAACATTTCAGATAATAAATTTTGAGATGTGATAAAAACCAAATGTCGATAAATTAACAATACGTTCTGAATACCTATTATTATTATTTTTCACAATTAGAAAAAAGAAATACCTGTTTTTCCTGGAGCACACTGACAGAAAAATGATCCTACACGGTCATGGCAGGTGGCGCCATTGAAACACGCTGCGCCTGCGCAATCGTCGATGTTTTCTCTGCAGTCGGCCCCGGTCCAACCATTAACACAAATACACGAGTAACCACCAATTGTGTTGGTACAGGTAGCTCCATTTTTACAGACTGTCGGTTTCAACGAACATTCGTCTACATCTTTACTGCAGTAAGGCCCTAAACATTAAAAAAAAAAGAACGATCAAACGAAAGGGCTACTTATCTCTTAAATTTTCATTAAATAACGAGTATTATAGTTATAAAGGTAGAACAGTTTCTAATATTGATCTGAACAAACAAGACGCAATTTATTAAAGCTGACGGACAGAAACAATACCTGTATAATTTGGTGGACACTGGCAAGTATAGCTGTTGATTCCGTCAATGCACTTGGCGCCATGCTGGCACAAATTCCCTGGACAATCATCAATATTGATATCACAGTTGATGCCCCTGTAACCTAAAACAATACGAACTTTACAAACTACCATTAAATATATACACAATGTTTAGTCAACATTCTAAAATATAGTCAAATCCTGAAAGAAAATTACAAGTTTTAGAAGTTAATATTAAAACAACATAATTACTCAAATATTTACTTATTGCTAGCTATAAATAACAGATTTCCTTATCTTACAAATAGTGGTCCTGACGACATCTTAGGCGGCGTACATTCAAACAAGAGTTTTGAAATAATAATGCGAAAATTCTTTACTTTGTTGTTCACGGAACTTTTTTAGCACAAAGCTGCATAAATAACTCTACGATGCATTTACCGTGGGGATCGAATCCTGAATTTTAGAATTTGTGGAGATAAAACTGGTTTCTAATACCAAGAATGTATTAAAATGAGCTCATCCGTACGAACGATACATAAACGAACATATCGGTGATTTAACAATGCAAAACAAAGATGTCTGGTATTTACTAATGATTATAAGTTATATACTTAACAATGAACAACATAAGTTTGTCAGATTTAACAATGAATTACACGTTACTCGTATTAATGATTATTAAGAATATATCAAAGGTTGATCAATTACTAAAGAGTACGCTAAAGTCTTAATACTCGTTACGCGAACTACTTAATAACTATAAAGAGTTAAGATGTGTAAGCGGTGGGCCTAACGACCACTCCAATATTCTAAAAGGTTTGTTATTTTCTGGGTTTATTTTTAATGAACACTTGACTCTCGTGTTAATTACTTAAATTCTTTGTGTAAAAGAAAGGTCCAAATTTTGTTTGGAAAAAGACGCACTGTAATGGTGGCCACGCCCCTGTAAATACTACAGAAAAATTGTAAAGCAGCAAAACCAAACTGTTTCACCACCTACATGTCTTTCAGAAGCAAAAATAGACAATAACCGCAGATTTTTATAACAGTATTACCCACTAGAAAAGTCACGAAACACACTGTGGATATCCGTGAACCAAGGCCACAACCACACGACACATTTGATTTAATAAGTTTTTTTTTCCTTTTTTGGAAACGTGCCTCAGGTGTTGGCGTCGGTCATGATCCGCTTGTCATAAAGTGTAGTCTACTGTAACAAAAATCCTGCTTTTACGATCAAAACCGATCCTTAATAGAACAAATTTACACAACAAGTAGTTATTACTCCCTAAATAACCGAAAAAGGTTAAAACTGTGATACCTTCGGTGTTAACACAAATTTTTATTAATTTGAATATATGTACGTAAAGTAAAGATACTCGTTTGTTGGTTTGTTTTTGAATTTCGCGCAAAGCTAGCTACACGAGGGCTATCTGCGCTAGCCGTCCCT